TCAAAATAAATAATAAATAATTATAAAAATAGAAAAAATATCATTAAAAAAAAGTTACATATAACACTTACCTGTTAAGGTATCTTAATACTTCCTTTTCATTCGAACTTAATGATGCCAATTTCCTATAATCAGCCATAGCAGCATTTAACTCCTCACGATCTCTTGAATAAATGAAATTTTCTACAGTCTTAATAAATTCATCAAACGCACTGTCATTAAAATACTTTCGTAAATTTTTTTTAAAATTATTCACGATATGCCAGGTGCATAAAAGATGTTCGGACTTAGGAAATACTTTGCCAAGGGCATTGATAAGCGCAGAATTATTGTCAGTGACAAATACAAGAGGAAAAATATCTAGAAAAACGAATAATGCAAGCTGTTCAATAACCCAAGTATAGGATTTTTCAGATTCGTTTGAAATCCAAGCACCGGCAATATCAAATGTCTGCAACCAATTAACACCAAGATTGCTAATACTGACAAAGTTTACAAATGGTAACTTGTAAACATTTGTCTTATAGGTCGCGTCAATTAAAATAACTTCCGAAAAACGGTTAGCGTTTTTAACTGATTCTATGTGACAAAAAAATAGATGCTTAATTCGCCCATCTATATTAAATTAATTATATAGAATTATTAGTATTATTGAAATTAGAGATGCAAAATGGCTTTACTAGCTTGTGTATAAATAATTATAAAAGTTAAATAATTAATAAAACTGATATGCCAATTTGCATCTCTAATTGAAATACAATAATAAAAAATCCAAATACAATATAAAAATACTTCCCTTGATAAGTTTCACGATGTATATCATACCCTCTTTCTTCCATACCTGTTATCAATGCACCCATTGAAGCCGTTTCTTCTAAAGTATGAATTCGTGTACTTAAATTGGATATATCCTTTCTTGTTGCAGTTGGATCTTTATTCTCATCTCTAATAGCCTCATAAACCATACTTGGTTTTGCCCCAGCTTTTAACATTGTAACAGCAATATGTCTAGTATCTCGTGTTAATTGACGATGTTCATAAAAAGCACGCGCTTCTTTGGCCATTGAATGGTTATGCTCATTGACAATTTCTACAACACTCCATTTAAGCTTATTTGGAACGGCTTTTATAAGATATGGGCATTCACAGCACTTACTCATCCTTTTCCTTTGACGTGTATCTATTGTTAGATTCCAATTATTCCGAGGCTGACCACTACATTTGCATTGGAGGTGGAGGTGACGTGAACTACTACTTTTAATTACTACTGCAAACCCCAACTTTTTAGCATTCGCTTGTGCAGCATCAAGAATTTCCTTCTTTGTAGCATACTCTTGACCAAGAATTATAGCTTGTAAAAATAGATATTAGTAATAAAAATTATAAATCTATTAAGATATCTACTTTACAATAACCTGAAACCTTACCTTCCTCCTTAGATCTAGTTTCGTCTTCAACTTTGCATAGGTTAGTATTTTTTGATTTTGATTAATCAAACAAATTAACACACCAATACGAAGTATTACTTTGATTATTTAAATTTGCAAGGTTGTTCATACTTTTATTATGCTCAAGAGGCGAAAGTAGATAAATTTATGTAAAGCTAGTTAGATAGTTAATATCTGCCAATTAATTAACGCGACAATCAAATTAATGCGAAAATCGATGAACGCGACAATCGATGAACGCGACAATCGATTAACATTAACGTGTTATGGTTCAAGCAGCTTTAAATCTCCAATCACGTGATTTTGTTCACTTTTTCATTATCTTATAGTAATATTAACAGAATAAATCGGAAGTAGACCGTCAATTAACCTAAAAGACGAGCACGTTC